GGGGGGGGGGGCAATGTGTAGCCTGCATAATTAACTTGTAAACCGCCCAGAGAGTGCTTGAAGTGCTATGAGGCGGTATATAAGCAGCACGCTTTGCTTTTTGCTTTAATTCTTTAGAGATTAGTTTCCAAAATCTTTGTACTTTTTCACATTCCCACCACATATGAAAGTATGTACCAATTTCCTTCTCACATTTCCAACAGACATTCAGATAACTAGCATTAATTTTATTCAATTTTATCGGTGTCAGATACCATTTTAAGCCCAATTTGAAAAAAAAATTCTTTTATTCTCAATGACATAAATCGTAAAACCCTCATTTTCCACCTCTTCCTTCATTCTTCATCATTTATTCTTTTTCCTAAGTCTTGTTCCCACACTAACTTCAATCCTTCATTCTCAGTCTCTTCTTCTTCTAGATCTAGCACGAATCTATAAATATTCCCACTGCACCCGTTAGTGAATCAGTCATCTGAATATCTTCATATGATAATAGAAATTGTTCATACCTTGTATATTCTCTAACTTTGTTATACTTCTTTACCCATTCATTAGTCCATCTTTCTAATTGCATATAATTCAACCATGATATATTCTTATTTTGAAGGATTTGTTTCATTTGATCTTTCAGTCTCATTTTATACAACCAATATTTTAATTTAATCACTTTTTCCTTTAAATAATTCTGCATAAATTTTCATATTGGCAGGAAAATTCTCTATTTCAGTCACTGATCCTAATGGAGAGTTAAACGGACATAAATTCTTTTTATGCTTGTACCACATGTTTAACATTGTCCTTAAAAAGGGGTTAGTAATTTCCCTTATTTTGTATTTTTAATTATACAAAATAGATGTTTTTCAATATTATCTTGTAGTTCTGATGATTCCATTTCCCACCAAATTAACCTTACTGGGTTATATACAATTTCTCCAATAAACCTCAACTGATTAGCCATGTAATTTTTTAAATATTTGGTATGCCTATGTGGCGTTTACCCTTGTGGCCCCTGCTTCTTTTCCCTCACAAAGGCTCACATCACGTTCTCTTCTCACTGCCACCAGTGGATTACTTCGATCCACAATTTAAATGATGTAAGTCAGAACACTTGTCTTGTGAACAGAAACAGAACTTATTTATTGAAGTGAAGCAGATTGAATAACAGAAGTTTTTCAGATACACAATATACATAACCAATTCATCAACAGTTCTCTCAGTACATAGTTCTTATCGCTTGCAATATCATTACCACTTTCTCTACTTATGTTCCTAATCAGTTCTCTCTCTCTCTGACTAATCTTATCTCTCTAACCAGCCCTATCTGACTCCTCCTACTCCCACCAAGTCTCATGTAGCTGCTGACTCTGCCTCTCCAGTCCTCTCATAAAGGTAAAGGTTCCCCTTGACACTTTTTGTCCAGTCATGTTCAACTCTAGGGGGCGGTGCTCATCCCCGTTTCCAAGCCATAGAGCCAGCGTTTTGTCCGAAGACAATCTTCCGTGGACACATGGCCAGTGCAACTTAGACACAGAATGCTGTTACCTTCCCACCAAGGTGGTCCCTATTTATCTACTTGTATTTACATGCTTTCAAACCGCTAGGTTGGCGGGAGCTGGGACAAGGGATGGGAGCTCACTCCGTCGCGTGGATTCGATCTTACAACTGCTGGTCTTCTGACCCTGCAGCACAGGCCTCTGCAGTTCATGCAAATTAGCTCATGATTATGAATAGCATGAGTGACATGGACAATCGCCAAAGCCTATTCTTCATTTTTTTGTTATTTTGTACCAGTACAGTGGTGCCCCGTATAGCGAGATTCTGGCTTTCTTCCTTTCATTACAGTATCGATTGATCATTCCTTGCCAAAGTTTAAAATCATTTTCTGTTAACTGTACTGGTTACATTCTGAATAAAATTTTTTTGTAGAATCTTCATTTTTATCAGCACAATCAGTGCTGTTTCTCTAAATAGGACAAATACTTAATATACTTTCTGTTCTTTTGTTTAATTAATCAGGGTTTTTTAATCACCCCAAAGGTTTTCACTGGGTTAGCAACTGGACAGTAAAATATTATAGCCCTTATAAATGGATAATTCAGTTTTTAAAAATAGATTTTTCTGATTCCAGAAGAAGAATTCGGCTGCTGAAGTTAAGCCAGCCTGGCCTCTTTAAGGTATTCGAATGGGAGACCTTCTCAGATTGAAATGTGAACTGCCCTATGTTCTTTGGAGGAAGAGAAAAGTATCAGTGTGATAAATAATTGGCAATGTGAAGCTACCTAAATATCAGCTTTAAAATCAGTTAAGCCTCACACTTCGGGTTCCTTGGCTCTGGAGCTGCTGGGCCAAATCCCGGATGGCCTTTTTTGTATGGCTTAGACATGGTTTGCTGACATAGATGTCTTGTCTTGTTTTCAGGTCGATCAGTACCTCCAACAACTACGGGGACTTGAAATGCTCCTCCATCAGATAGACAGTGGTGGAAAGCCAGAAGGTAATGCAGAACTGGAAAGGAAGCTGCAAGAAGCTAAGGAGATGCTCCAGCAATTCCTGAGAGAAGCCCAAAGTTTACAAGGTAACCTGAGCTTTTCAGATCCATTAGGGACAAGGCTAGAGGCAGGAAGCAGAGGAAGAAAAGGAAGTGATTGCAACCATAGTGCCTTCTTGCCACTAGAAAAGATGGAATTGGTTTTAAGCCAGTTTCAATGAACAGGGGAAAAGCAACTTATTCCTGCAGGTATTATTGAGGTGGCTCTTGGAACCCCAGAACATGCCAGATGGGCGGGATATAAATCGAACAAATAAATAAACAAACAAACCCCACGCTCTTCCTTTTCCCACTGTCTTCCGGCCCTGCCCCTTGTTTAAAGAAGCACACGTGTTATATAGAACTCAGAAGTAACAATGTTCCATGCTGTGACTGTTCTTCTTTAAATAACAGTGTTCTCTTTAATGCAGACTTCTATTTCTAGGTCTCCCATGTACAGTACTGTGTATAGATCTATCAACTTAGGGTATGATCATATAGGCATTTGTCCCACTTTCTGGTCTGCTGTCAGGACAGGCTGGTTCGCTCCTTTTGCCAGTGATCAGATAGTGTCATTGCTAGAGCCAACCAGCCTGTCCCCAGTGCATTCTTACCTGCACACCTCCTCTGCTCCTCTGTGGTGAAGCAGAGAAAGGAAGACGTTTTGTATGTGTGTGTGTTTTTTAAAAGTCTATTAGGACAGTGCTCATGAAGAGGAGGATTTTGTTTTCTATTTTAATATGGTCACTTGAGGTGCACACGCCATGTGCACGCAAAGATCACACCAGATTGCCTACTAGACCTCCGACTTTATTTAGCCTGCTCCGGCCTGCTCCAACTGAGCCATGTAGACAAGCCCTAAGACTTGCACAGTGTGCCGACATGTCTGTTGCTTTGTTTTGATATAACCATGACCTAAAGAGCCTTGATTGTTATCAGCATTGTGGCACATGAAATGAGGAAGCTTATTAGGCTAACCCTAATTTTCACCCTAGCCCTTCTGTCCCTGGTTGTTGGTTCTTCTGTGTCATTCTCCAGATAAGATACTAGTAAAAAAAAAATCCTACTGGAAATTTGCACGAATTCTCACCCTCATTGCATGGAGAAGGAATTTTTGCTCAGTCCATATATAAATGGAAGAATATTCTCTCTTTTTCTAAGTCAGAACTTCCTGCAGATTGTATAATACATGTTCGTATCTTATGGTGGTCCATCTCTAGTAATACAACTAGCTAATTCCCTTTAAAATTAAGCTGTTTAGTTCTAGACTAATGAAATTTTTTTTCCTTGCCCCTGTCTCCCTACCCAGCATCTGACAGGGCCTTGGCAAGCCGCCTGTCCAAGATGAAAGTTCAGGAATTTAGCTACCAGAGTCGCTTGGATGAGATTGATGAGACAACCAACAGGCTGCAGTCCTTGGGCGGTCGGTACCAGACCCAGGTGCAAGACGCCAGGAGGCTGGTTGAGAGAGCTCGCGTGGATTTGGAACAAAGCCAGGGAAAGCTGGGAGGCATGGCAAGTATCTTCCATTGTGTGGGATGAATTTTTAAAAGACGTTTTGCATGTCAGTAGGATTTTAACTCCCTTCTCATAAATCAGTGGATGAGAATGGCCACATCATTTCTGTTGTTCTAGAACTTGTAAAATGTGGGTCCTGAGCTGGTATATGCCCTTGTATGCATCTGAATGACTGACCCAGGTAGAGCACTGAAAAAATCTAGGTACACTACATGACAAAAGGTGTAGAATTCTAGACCACAACTCAGTGTGTATATCCTGATGGTTCTCTTTTCTTACTTAGATTATTCCATCTCCAGACATCCCTGGAAGTTCAAACAGTTTTCTAATCCTGGCCCAAGAAGCCATGACATTAGCAAATAGGTGAGTTGATCATTGCTTTCATTAGGTTGCTCCTAACATCATTTCTGTTACTTGGCCTAACCTTGAAAACACCACTACAGGGTGGAAGGTTGTGCTGTGGGGGGTCACTGGAAGAACAAAGCAGGAAATGATTTACAAATTATGGTAGTTTTCCTGTGCTTTTGGCCATGGAGACTGATTGCTAAGGTGCTTTGTGGCTCCTGGAGCTTTCCAGTTAGCATATTCTAACCATCTGGTAGCAGTGCCTTGTATTTTATTTCTTTGGTCCAAAATGTTTTTTCATGCCAGCAAACCTTTGGTTCCAACTGTAGATAAATTATAGCACTCAGTAACATCCAAATGTGTGCATCTATAGTTTGTTTAAAGAGAGTATTAATCCATTGATTCAAACCTTGGCTTCTTCTGGAACCATCTTTAAACAAACCACGGTTTCTTGACTTTGGGCACTATCTCCTGCCCCCCACATATAACATGTTTGCATCTCGTTCATCTACTGCTGTTCATTCAGGCACAAGATTTTTAATCCCTCATTTTGTGGAATCATGAGATGTTGCACACTAATTCATATGAACAGTATGGGATGTATGCACACACAAACTCCCTTTCTCTCTTTGTGGTCCTTGTATGAGATTTTCACTCAGTGAAAATGAGGTCAGTGAAAGTGAAGACTGGTCCTCATTAAAGGACTAAGAAGATGACTGCAGTTGAGAAACAGCCAATTATTTCTGTTGGGGAAGGGGGGGAAATTACTCTAAGTCCCAGAATTTCTCACTCAGTTCCTTTAATGATGGGCTGCCCGAACAGGAAAAAATAATATTGCTATAGCATCATGCTCAGTGTAATTTGGACTTTGAAGAAATATACACTTGTTTCAATGCTCTGTCAGTGAAAAAGTTGATCTTAATTCCCTTACCCTGTTTTGAGAAACAATATAAAGCAGACAAACAATATAACTCCCGACCTCTGTGCAGCCAGAGGTCGGGAGTTTGATTCCTGATTCGAAGAAGAGCCAGGCTGTGTGCTCCTGAGCAAGGTACGTACACTGTCCCAGAGCACTTCATGGTGCTCACTCCGTAGAAAACCATGGAAAGAGCTGACCTGACAGCCAGCCTGTAATTATTAATATTATTTTACAAGGCGGAAGGTCAGATTACACTGCAGTAGTAGCTCAGTGAGTTGGTTACCTGGCTGTAGGGCCAGAGGTTAGATTTTGATTCCTCACTGTGCCTCCCAGAAGACCCTTAGGTCAAGCTACACAGACCTAGAGGGCTCCCCAGACGAAGGGACGGGTAAACCACTTCTGAGTATTCTATACCTAGAAAATCCTGGAAAGGATTGCCATAAGCGTGAATTAACTTGACAGAACATCATCTTCATCACCATCAAATGTAAATAAGTTACAGGTACGATAGCACTGTATGCCCCACTAGCTATGAAATGCAGGCATTTCTTTACTGTAAAATCAAACCTTAGCTTCTGTGATATACCATCAGTTGTGGTTTAATCTGCATTATGTTCTGATGGCTAAACAAATAATCTGTCCTTTACAAAAAGAAAACAGAAAGGGGTAGGAATGACAATGGCACCTGCGTTCAAGCAGAGGGAGGTTTCAGCTTTTCACTGTTCCCCACCCACAAGCAACTATAGCCACCGCCCAGGCACCCAGGTATGGCCTTAAACCAGTGGTTCTTAACCTTGGGTTACTCAGGTGTTTTTGAACTGCAACTCCCAGAAACCTCAGCCAGCACAGCTGGTGGTGAAGGCTTCTGGGAGTTGCAGTCCAAAAACACCTGAGTAACCCAAGGTTAAGAACCACTGCCTTAAACCATGTTCCAGATAGTCCTCTGGCTGTCAGGAGTGGGTACGGTTTCAGCATTAGTTATTGCACCAGGGAGGATGTTGTGGGGGGTGGGGAAGCCTGTCCCAGTGTGCAGCTTTGTGAGGACCCAAGCTGTCGCAACCCTTCTTCTGGAAGTGAGCAAGCTTTGGAAAACCATGCCCAAGTAAGCAGCTATAATCTGAATGTCCTCAGCAACATTTTGCTTCAATGTTGGAGCATGGTCTTTGGTTTAAAGAGTAGGAGGGACAGTCACCATGCCGTCATCTCTCTCTCTTCCTTTCCTTGGCTCCCCTTCCTGAATTCTCCTTTTGCCTTTCAGGCACACACAGCTGGCCAACACCATTGAGCAAGCGGCCAGGGCAGCAGAAGATGCTTCTGAACAGGTGCTGGCCTTGCTGCAGTCCTCTGTGAATGGGAGGGGCAGCCTGGCAAACTCCATGCAAGGGCTCCAGAAAAAGTAGGTCCCCCAAAAGAGCGCGGCTTGGCAGGCATGGTCAATACTCTGGTTGTGGCCTTCCTCACCTTCAGTTACTCCACGGATTATCATCCTCATAAGTGCATGATGAGGATGATTAAAGCTGCACGCTGGTCTTGAGGTTGTTGTTCCTGTGTGTAGAGAGAGGGTTTGTTTCTGGAAAGGTGCACAGTGACAGACTGCATTCCTCAGTGATACGTCAGCCTCTTGTTGGGACGACTGGGTCATCCAGAGTCCAGGCGAGGGGAGCAGCCTGCCTCAGCTCTCCCCTCTGCCTCAGGGACTGGATTGCAAGACTGGATGGCAATAAATTGCATCGGCCAAGGTCCCCTGAGGGCTGCTTGCTCAGAGACATCCTAAACTGGCACTGGGGAACAGCTCCTCTCCCATTGTCTTTACGTCCCATTATTATATAAAAGAAGATGGCTGCAATGTATTTTTATAAGAGGAAGTCAAGGCCAACTTTGCTGCCTGTCATGAAATACAACAAGATAGCCTCTCCCGTTGCCTGTTTACCATTTAACTCATGTGGAAGCTGAACTGGTAACAAGAGAGTGTCCTCTACTTTCCTGAGGCAGGGGGCCAGCATAAGGGGCACAGGGCAGGTCCCGTGGGCCGATATATATATACGTAGCTCTCACATCAAATGCCTCACTTCCATTCTCTACCCTCTTTATATTTGGGGTAGATTGGGACAGCTGATTCACTTTCCCTCATGGTGGCCTGGCCCTAGAGAAAGTTTAGCAGTGATGCCAGTGAGCACTGTTGGCTTGAGTAGACATCAGGAAGAGGCCAGCTGTTGCACTGTGATGATCTTGTTTTTCCTCCACAATCAGGCTTCACCCTGTTAGGTGTGTAGCCCCAGCTGGGGTTCTAGGTGCGGAATGTTGAGAACTACACCTCATAGAGAGAGGGACAATTAGTATTAGACATTATTAGGAGTTCCCCACTGCACCTATTAGTGATTCTTTGGTGTAATCCAAAGGAATAACTGACAAATGTTTACATTGGGGTTAATAATTTAGATATTCCTGAGTAGAACATAATAACTAATTTATTCTCCAATCTCTGAAAGACTATCAGGAAAACATTGTAAATTATTAGATATGTTGAGATTAACAAATGGTATCTGATTAGACCAGCTAAGCAAGATGTTTTATAGAAAACATGCTGTTGCTTGTCAGCCATTGGAACTATTTTCATTACAGTAAAGTACTATTTGCTTTATTATACTTTGTTATAAATAATTATAGGAACCCTTAGTTCTGATCATGGTTTTTGAATATTGAAAGCCCTTCATGTACATTTTGCTAATAATTTTTATAACAGTTCTGCAAGGTAGGTGAGTACTGACATGTTGTTTGTGAAGTGTAGCTGAAGTCAAACTAAGTCATTGGATGGATGCTACCCTGTATGCAAGGTTATGGCAGGCTTCAGCTGAATGTGGACCAAGAACTCCCAGAAGTCCAAGATAGATTTTGAAGGGGCAGAAGAACTAGAGACCAAATTGCTAACATGCCCTGGATGATGGAGAAAGCCAGAGGGTTCCAGAAAAACAGGACAGGAAGCAACAGTTAGAACTGGATATGGAACAACTGATTGGTTCAAAATAGGGAAAGGAGTACGACAAGGCTGTATATTGTCTCCTTGCTTATTTAACGTATATGCAGAATACATCATGCGAAAGGCCAGACTAGAGGAATCCCAAGCCAGAATTAAGATTGTCGGAAGAAATATCAACCTCAGATATGCAGATGATACCACTCTGATGGCAGAAAGTGAGGAGGAATTAAAGAACCTCTTAATGAGGGTGAAAGAGGAGAGTGCAAAAAACGGTCTGAAGCTCAACATCAAAAAAAACCCTAAGATCATGTCCAGTGGTCCTATCACTTCCTGGCAAATCAAAGGGGAAGATATGGAGGAAGTGACAGATTTTACTTTCTTGGGCTCCATGATCACTGCGGATGATGACAGCAACCACAAAATTAAAAGACACCTGCTTCTTGGGAGGAAAGTGATGACATACCTTGGGTAAAAGGTAAAGGTTCCCCTTGACAATTTTTTGTCCAGTCGTGTCCAACTCTAGGGGGCGGTGCTCATCCCCGTTTCCAAGCCATAGAGGCAGTGTTTGTCCGAAGACAATCTTCCGTGGTCACATGGCCAGTGCGACTACACACGGAACGCTGTTACCTTCCCACCGAGGTGGTCCCTATTTATCTACTTGCATTTGCATGCTTTCGAACCGCTAGGTTGGCGGGAGCTGGGACAAGCGACGGGCGCTCACTCCGTTGCGTGGATTCGATCTTACGACTGCTTGGTCTTCTGATCCTGCAGCACAGGCTTCTGCGTTTTAGCCCGCAGTGCCACCACATCCCTTGACAACATCTTAAAAAGCAGAGACATCATCCTGCTGACAAAGGTCCGCATAGTCAAAGCTATGGTTTTTCCAGTACGATGTATGGAAGTGAGAGCTGGACCATAAAGGAGGCTGACCGCCAAAGAATTGATGCTTTTGAATTGTGGTGCTGGAGGAGACTCTTGAGAATCCCCTGGACTGCAAGGAGAACAAACTTATCCATTCTAAAGGAAATCAACTCTGAGTGCTCACTGGAAGGACAGATCCTGAAGCTGAGCCTCCAATACTTTGGCCATCTCATGAGAAGAGAAGACTCCCTGGAAAAGATCTTGATGTTGGGAAAGTGTGAAGGCAAGAGGAGAAGGGGACTAAAGAGGATGAGATGGTTGGACAGTGTCATCAACACTACCAACATGAATTTGACCCAACTCCAGGAGGCAGAGGAAGACAGGAGGGCCTGGCGTGCTCTGGTCCATGGGGTCACGAAGAGTCGGACCCGACTTAATGACTAAACAACAACAACAACCCTGTATGTCCGTGGCAGAGATGAGACATCAGCCGGGGACCTCCTTGCTCATTGCTCCTACTCATCAACCACTATGTATAAAATGCATTCCCTCATAGTCCTTGTCCATGTCTTGGGCAGCCATTATAGAAAAGAACAAAAGCAGAGATACAGCAAAATCTGAAGCAGTACCTTATATGTACACTTTCTGTTCCATTGGAGTGTGCAAATTGGTCTTCTGCAAGCTGCATCCGAGTGGTCATGGACATTTCCCCCCAGCTTAAGGAGAGAGCAATAGTACTGCTGAGGAAATGGCAAACCTTGGGATCCTGCACTACACAGTCTAGGATGGACCTTGGCAGTTTACCTGCAACAATCATGGCATGTTTAGATGCCATGCCCAGTAATAGCCACAAGATAAAAGTGTGGCCTACTTTATAGAGATGCTGTGATGGGGAAAAAAGTTTGTCACATTTTAAGGATTGAATGTGGCCTTTTTTTTCCCCTCCCAGGTATGGTGAGATAAAGCTGCTGTCCACTGATCTGGAGGCTGATGCTGGCAGGTTGATGGCTGATGCTGACAAGACCTATCAAGGCAGCCAGTTGCTCATTGGCTTTCTAGCTCGTCTGCCAAAAGTTGACATAGCTCTCTTTCAGGTGAGGGGTGCCTTTGTGTCTGTGTGTTTCCAGATATTTTCAAGAACTTCCCTCTATTTTAATTATAATTTGCCTTCATCTTTCCAGTCAGGGATGAGGGAAAATGGGGGAGAAACAGTCATTTCAGAATGAATGTGAGGGGCTCTAAACCAAACAGTGTTGTCCTCCCCCACCCCCTGATATTTTAGGAGGAGGCCAATCAGCTCCGGCAGAAGGCAGACTCTTTAACAAGCTTAGTGGACGTGTACATGACACAGTACCAACGCCTGCAAAGCAACACCAGGAATTGGGAGGCGGAGATGAAGGAGCTCTTGCTAAAAGGAGAAAATGATAGACTGGTGAAGTATATTCATACTAATGAAAATCATTCATGGATTTCTAAGTTAGTGTTATAAACGTGTTTTAAGATTTGCTTTTCTCCACGCAAGCATGCAACATCCACATTTTTAAAGATGTCAACCGTGACATTCTCTGGTACAGGATGTATTCCATGTCCTTCTGCAAAAAAACAAGCCGGACAAATCTGAAACCCGTTTAGCACACCAGAGATCAGGACATAGCATGGAAATGGCCCTCGATGGTCTTAGCTGAACTTGGCAAGCACTGAAGGAAAACTCACAGACACATTGCACAATTGTCTAAGATTTCTAGGAATAAAGCGGCAGTTTCATTTATTTCATTTGTTCCCATGTTTGGTGCAGGCATCTGTCCAACTGTTGTCTCGTGCTAATGTTGCCAAGAGTATGGCTGACCGGGCACTGAATGCTGGCAATGCTACCTTAGATGAAGTTGATAACATCTTGAAGAATCTGAGGGGTGAGTTGCTGAAAAGCAGGAATAGGGCAGGCTTGTGAATAAAAGGATAAATGGCTGTTTGGGGCCAAAAGTAGCCAAAGAAGTTTATGATCTTCATTTGACAATTGTTGGGAATGAGGAGCAAATCCTACTCCACAAATTTCTCTCTCTTTCTCCTCTCCTTAGGCAAATGGCATGAGGCCAATTTCATTTTCTAGAAGCTAGTCAAAATAGGTTCATTCCTGTAGGCATTTAGAGAGGCATTTAAAGACTCAATTGTGCTGGTCGGTATTAGACTGCTGTTATTCAAATGTTTGAAACTGGGTTTTATCTTTGATTACATTGTTGAATTTTAGTTAAAGGCATGCAAATACAATATTTTTCATAAATTTTAAATACATATTAAGTTCTTTTTTTAATGTTTATTTTTTGTAACTTATGCTGATGTTCCACTGGGCTATTGGCAGGTTGATCTTTTCTATTTATATTATATATTTTAAATCAGAGTTGCCTATTTCTGGATGGACGTGGTAGAAACAGTGGTGTGTTTTTAAAAAAAACTTAAAAATCCTTTGTTCGATCTCCCCCAAATTTTGCACAGAGCAAGGGTAGATTATCTGGTACGTGTGTTAAAAATCTGGTGGTGATCCAAAACTGAGTTTAAAAGTAAGAATGATTTTTTGGCCTGCCCCCATTTTAAGAATTGCATTATAGAATGTTGATTTGCTCTACAAGCAAAATATGGCTGATATACTCTTGTGCAGCAATAATTTTAAGTCTATGACTAAACTACTTATTTCAGGATTCCATGCAATGGATCTATAGCAGTTAGTGGTGTTAGACTGATATAATAGTGCAATGCAGATACGCTCTGAGCCAGAACTACTGAGACAATTGGAGACAGGCCGCTGCTTTGTTGACTTCTGCACTTTCATCTCGGATTTCTTCTTGCTTCCCAATGGAGACATAGGAGAGCTCTCCATGCTGTTTTGGCTCCTGATTTAGATTGGTTTTCTCCCCCTTCTGCTTGTAGAGTTTGATCTTGAAGTTGGTAACAAGCAACTGAAAGCCACCGAGGCCATGCAAAGGCTTCCTGTCATCAGCAACACAGTTGCTAGTGCCACTGAAAAGACAAGACGTGCAGAATCAGCCCTGGGTGCTGCTGTAACAGAAGCAGAGGCAGCCCGGAGGATGGCTGGAGAAGCAAAGGAGATTGCTGGAGGCATCAATCAGGTATAGGGAAACTGAAAAGATGGTGTTGATGGAGCTTTGGGAAATGGAGGAGTTAATACACTTCAAGATGACTGGCAGAAGCATAGTTAGGCTTGGGCATTCTGATGTTGAACTTTTACCTTCCCCTACACTGGAGACATAGTTTGGGTCACTCTTCATCTATTCAAAACTCCTTCTCCAAATACAGTGATACCATGCTCTGCATTCACATAGCACTCCAGAGTATTCCAATTACAGTATGTAACATACATTATCTGCCCTAATTATTACAACAGCCCGGTCAGTTAGCTCAGTATAATGACCTATATATTATAGAACATGAGGGCTGAAGCTAAGAGAGAGAGAGAGGCTTACCTGATGGCACCTAACGATTTCCTTCCAAAAAACCAAGATTTAAACTAGTGATTTCCTGATTCAGGATTCAGTTTTCACCCTTAACTGCCAGTTTGTTAAAAGTGAATAACACAAACTTCAGATGTTTCATGAACGTGTGTGATTGGGCCCAGCGTCTGTATCATCTGGTAATGTTCAAAGTCCAAAATGAATATGGGGTTTGAGGCTATAACAAAGCCTAGAGCTATAACGAACAGTTGATAAAAACACAATGAGACTGACAAAAAGGAGACGAGAAAGGAGCCATCAGAGAAAATGTCTCCTTCCTCCTTTGGATGTTCTTACTTACTGATGCTCTCAGTATCTCTGATTTGTGGGATTTCTTGAGTTCCGCCCCTAGCAAGTGTTTAGTGATGCACCTGAAACCAACAAGTGTGCTCTTTTTGAAAACATGCTTGTCTCTAGTTTCTGGACCTCTTTGCCTCATCCATGTATCTACTGTTTGCTGCATTTGCTCCCCCAGGAGATAGGAAGGCTGACCTTGGAAGCCAACAGGACAGCAGATGGAGTGCTAGCTCTGGAGAGGGAAATCATGGCTCTGCGGAACGAGGCAAGAGAGACAGATGCGAGGTTGCAAAGAAAGGCACTGGAGATTGATACGGATGCTACTGCGGCTCAGGAAGTGAGTTAGTAATGTTCTACCTTTTAATGAAAGGGACCTTCTGAAGGACCTGTTTAGTCAAGAAACCCTGCTAATACCTTGGATTATCATAATCTCTTCAGGTTGTGCAGATGTCCCAGAGAGCCAAGGCAAATGCTGGAAGGGCTGGTAGTTCTGCCCAAGAAGTTCTCAGTGCCCTAGAAGACATTCTGCGCATGATGGGTGAGAGACAATAATATTTCCTGTTAGGACTGCAAGCATGATTTGGTTTAATTTATAGAGTATGCATAGAAAGCTAATTATAATAGGTAAAGGCAAATGTTAATCAGTGAGAATGAAAATGACAGGCAGAGTTAATGGTTTTTGGAGGCCATTTTGTTCTGGCATATTATAGGGAATGGGAAAGTGTCACGTTCCCAGGGGTTACAACAGCAGAGTTCGATAAGCCAGTCCTATGTCAGAAATTCAGAGAATGCAGAGCCGGTATCCAAATACCAAAGCAAACTCACACAACGTAGTCCAGGGTCAGAGTCCAAAGCCAAAATGCGCAACGTAGTCCAGGGCCAGAGTCCAAAGCCAAGAGTCCAGAGAACAAGGTACAAGATAGTCAGGAGCGTGGATGCAAGCCAGAGGTTTGACTTGTTGCTTCCACAGACTTTCAGCCGTCTGAGAGCTGTTCATATAGTAAAAACAGTCCTTGAACTGCTGGAAGCCTTTTCATCCTGTCAGAACTCAGGGCTAGTTGATCGGATGTTTCTGTGGGCAACCTTCAAGCGATCCTCTGACCTTTTCGTCATAAGTCTTCCCCTCAGCCTGGCCCTCAGCCTATCTACTGGGGGAGGAGAATCTGGAGGTGATTCAGCTGTTTGTGTTTCTAATTGCTCAGCATTCTCCTCAGCTACAGTTAACCCCTCAGGTTCCGGATCTTCAGCTGCACTCATGACAGAAGCAGCCTTCATACGTTGTTTCCTTTATGCTTTTTTTAATATATCACAGATCCTTTAGCATATAAAAAGGCAACTCTTGAATCTTTGCTGATACTGAAATACAATCAGTTCAAAGCAGTTTACTGATCCAACATGATATCTTTTCTCTGTTAATAGTCATATGCATGTGTATTGATTGCTCAAATGCTCTGTAATCAGGTAAGTACTGACATTGTGGTCAGTCCTGCAATATGAAATCACTGTAATTAATACAAAGTCCTGCATAGGCACTACTGTGTTGCAAAAAGTGTAGACCAGGAGATGGAATCATCAACTTTCAAATGTTAGGAAGTCTGAGGCACAAAGCTGGGAAGGAATTGTATCCTAAAACTGTCTGTGTTCCAGTAACAGCACAGACCTTCATTGCATGACTATTCCTGGCTCTCTTTCCTCCCATTATATTGTGCAATCTAAGGGCAACCTGCATACTTTAGGCCAGTGGTCCCCAACCTTGGGCCTCCAGATGTTGTTGGACTTCAACTCTCAAAAATCCTGACCAGCAGTGGTGGTGGTGAAGGCTTCTGGAAGTCTAGAAGTCACTGCTTCTGGAAGTCACTGCTTTAGACAGTGTTCTTAACTTGTATTTGTTTCATACCATAACGAGGGGCCTGGATGTACATAGAGATAGTTGGGGAGGCAGAGTGGGCTGCTTAACCTTCTCTTACCGGAGGGGTCAGCAACCTCTAAATGTCTTGGAGCTACACAAGTCCATCCCTGGAATTACGAGGGGCTTGCTTGCACTTGCTGCTGTGACCCACATGCCTCCCAATATTTTCTTGCTAAGAAAAACCCTCAGTGGTTGACATTTGGGGATCTGGGGCCCCAAGGGAGCACAAGGAGGTGCTTTGAGCCACATTGGCCCCTCAAATTAAATTTCAGGCAGACATAGAGGTGCTGGGGGCTATATTTGGAATTTGGGGAGCCCTAACAGACTGCATATTGTTCACCCCTGTATGACTGCGGTTCAACCCTACGGATCTCACTGCCATTCCACCTCTATATTATTGTTCCACACACTGTCTTGGAGATGTGCAGTTTTGCCCCTGAAGTAGCTTTCAGATTCCAGCTCTCAGATTTATTTATTAACTTTTAACTAACAAGGTGTTCAGGATAACTAAAATAAAACTCAGGCAAAAAACAAAACAAAAACCACACACACTTTGTAATTAAAATACTAAAATATATCCAATGAGAACACCTCAAGAGTAATAATCTCTTGCATGCTGTTTTTTCTTTTCTTTTCTTATCATGAAGCCATGAATCAGCTTGGATGTCAAAAGCTTGTCTCAATAAAAAAATGTCTTTGCCTACTGACAGAAGGATAGTAGAGACAGAGCTTGACAAGGGCCTCTGAAGCCTGGGAGCAGCCACTGAGAAAGGAGCTTGAATTAACTTCCCCTTTTCTCCAATTTTGCCAGATCAACCAGAGGGTATGGATGAGGAAAGTGTGAACATGCTGGAGGCAAATCTCAGGAAGGCCAGAACAAGCAACAGCCAGTTGAAGGAACAGCTGCTACAGCTGGAGCAAACAGCTAGTCAGCAGAAACTTCGCATCCAGACCCTGAAGAGGAGCATCACGGAGATCCTTGCAGATATCAAGAACCTGGAGGAAATTCGGCAAAATCTTCCTCCCAAGTGTTACAATGTGCAACCCATTGAAAGACCTTGAAAGCATTCGGACTCAGGGCAGAGCAAACAGCCACGTACTGGCCAGATTTCAGGGGGAATATCAGAGTTAAGCAAGGAGGCGATATAAGAGATCAAACCCCTCCAAGGACTGGCTGCGTGAACATCCTTTTCAAGTTGCTAATTCCTTGTGGGTTGGGATGCAATACAGTAGTTATATTTTGGCCGTGTCCACAGTGGAAGCAGTAACGAGTGTCTCATTACTGGGCCGCAGCAGGAAAATAAGCAGGCTGCATTTTTTTAAAAAAGGGGGGCGGGGGGGGCGCTACCTCAATGCATGAACTCTCTTCCAAACCAGGAGCCAACTGCTGAACCAGAGCATTCTACTGTTTCCTCTGCCTGGCCATCCTTTCTCCCAGGTTGAATGAATGGAACAAGGACTGGTGCTATATTGTTACATTAATCATCCCATTATGAGGTATTTATCGCCATGAATGGCCCCTAACTTTTACTCTTCCCCTCAGGATATAGTGACTGAGGATAAGATCTATTAGGGGCTCTAAAAGCATATTTATCCTGCAGATCTACAGTGGTTTAATAGTCATTTCCTCACCCCAGGGATTTGAGACTCTCTGGAAATGGGGTTGACATGTATATATGTATGATCAAACTACAGTTCCCAATATCTGGGGAAGGGGAAATGGACAGCTATTTATATAAAAGCAGTAGTTTATATAAATCAACCTTCCTCTGTAGTGATGATTGAATGTGTCTGGACTTCATGTTTCTCTTGTTTTGCCACTGAATATGGGATGGGTTAGGGTGCTGGCTGTCTTCCTGCTGTTTGGCTTCCTGTATAGCCCAGCTAGCACATATAGATCGCCATGGTTTGAAAAGGTTATTTCTATATTTTTTCATTATCTTACTCATCCTGAAGACTTGCAGTGGGGAAAAACTAACAGGGAAGAGCATTACTTCACTATATAAATAAACTCAGTGGCTGAAGAACTGGATTAAAGAAGGTTCTCTGTGATGCATATGGCACCACACATTAGGCTTCACAGGTATTTTGTGCTCAGTTTTGTCCTGTTGTTTATTACATGCAGTGGTTCCATGCTAACAAGCTGCATCCGTTGATTTCTAAATATGATCTCTCATGCAATGTCAAAAATCTGTCATGTTAATGGGAAAAAAGGATGATAAACATGAAAATCCTATTTAAAGTTTTTGGGGATGAGGACTAAACTGGTTTTCCATAGCCTTGCAGATTAGCAAGAGATAAAGCATTCCTTGTGTTTTGTCACAAGCAGAGGCGGTCAGCTGTGTCTGCACATAATGGCTCCTTACAAAATTGCAATGTGTATGTTATATGCAATCAAGTAACATCTGACTTATCATCAGGCTAACAGGGCTTTCAAGATAAGTGAGATATCTAAGGAGTGGTTTTACCCCATTCCCAGTGATTTTCCATGGCTGAGCAGGGATTCAAACTCAGGCCTCCTATCATTCTGCTATTCCACACTGCTATATCCAGCAATAAAGTGGGTCAATCAACTATGCTGCAACAAATACAGCTAGTACAAAAAACAACAACAAAACAACAACAAACCCTATATTTTTCAGTGTGGCGAATAAGAACAATACAGTGGTGCCTCGCTTAGTGATTGCTCTGTTGAACGATGAAATCACTTAGCGATTGGGTTTTGCCCATCGCCAGAGTGATCGCTTAGCGATGGCCCCTATGGGGAAAGATCGCTTTGCGATGATCACGGGGAAGCGATCATCGCAAAGCCCCCATTTTCGGCCAGCTGATAGGTGGTTCCAAAATGGCCGCCAGAAAACAAAATGGCCACCCCGCTGTGTTGCCTCACTTTAGAGGCACCAAAAATGGCCGCCGCAATGGAGGATCTTCGCTTGAGGTTAGTTTTAAAGCCCATAGGAACGCATTAAACAAGTTTTAATGCGTTTCTATGGGCTTTTTAAAATCGCTTAGCGACGAAATCCCTTAGCGACGTTTTTTCCTGCACGGATTAACGTCGCTAAGCGAGGCACCACTGTATAAGGAACAACCTTATAGATGTTGCACTATATAAGGAATGATCACATAGAGGTGACTATTAATCTATAGTTGAAAAGGTCACTGCTATTGGCAACTTCTAAAATTGTAAGCAACTTTTCTACGCCTCTCCAAGAAACTAACCTGGAACCTTCTATGCATGAACAATGTAAATAATAATAATA